TAACTTTATTTATTTATAAATCGAATTGCGTAATTTTATTTATATGTGATGATTACGTCATAATGTTTTAAAACATTTTCAATCGAGATTTTTAAGATCGTGTTTTAAAACATTTGCCATCCCTAGTAGCATGTATTGAATTTCATAAAGTATGCAAACTTTTTTTTACTGTATATCATATTGCATAAACTCACGATCAAGAACGCTTTTCTCTTGCTTATTCTAAAAAATTCTAAGTCGCGGAAATTTTTTGGAAGTAGTGCAGTTGTATCGATAGCTAATATACTATATTGGTTCTTGTCCGCCATGGAGGCGTTGGCCCAAATCTTACTCGTGACGGCATTTATCTCTTTTGAATCCTTAATTTCAAGCCTTTCTCTAAATACACCATAACTAGTCACAGACTTAGAGTTAAAGTGGTTTGGAAGCATATCCACGATTTTATCTGGATCATTGAATCGTGGAGGAAAAATATTTTGAATTCTCAGGTTTTGAGAAAAAGACATTTTACTGAAATTACATTGATCGCAAGTTATTAAACTCAGATTCGAGAACCTTACATTATAAATTTTTTTTTTTTTTTTTTTTTTTTGAGATTACAAATTGCTACCACTGAATTGTTTATTTTGTACTATTTTACATAAATTTTTGCCCAGCCAAGTTTTTCACATAAAAATCAACGAAAAAAGTGATGTCACGTGAGAATGCATACCATTGTTGAATACTTTTGAAAAAAACGGTTTATTATAAACGGCCTCCCCGCCAGAATAGTTGCAGCTTGGCGGTTTATTATTACCATTTTAATACATTATCAAAGAGAGTTCTTATCATGTCCATTTTTGTGATTAACACCCATACGGCTAATCTGTATTGCATGCGGAGTTGTTGCGGATTTATTCCGCGTGAACCTAATTTGTACACAAAAAAAAACCGCCATTTCATCTACAAAACGAATAGCTTACATATACGTATTCGTGAACTAATTTTTTAGATTATATTCCCACCTTGTGCATCTCGCTGTGCAACCATCAACCATTAAGTCCATTGTCATTGTGGTATCTCATCAATGGCTGAAAGAATTATGTGGGGAATTTTTCGATTATGTGAAATAATTCTTATCGTACCATTTTCATTGGTTCTTCAGTTTGATCCTTTTATGGAAAAATTAAACCGTTGATAAAAAGATGAAAGGGAAGAATTAAAGCGTGAACTAAACTTATGATTTTATATAATCATTCACGAGACGGTCACTCATGTTCAGTAATTCTCGTATATCTTCAATTGACAAAGTCCAAAATCAATCTAAACACACCAGACGCACGTTGGTTTTATCAATTTCAACCTTAAATGCCTATATCTTCAACTACTACTTCCAATCAACGTCAGCATACAGTCAAGACATGATAAGAAAAAGGTGCGTATTTAGAAAGACTGTTTATTGTTCACTAGTTAACAAGATAAACTTCGCGCCCGCGATTGGTTAAAATATGCTAACTCTTCTATTTGATACTTTATTTATTACCGATATATTAAATAAATAGGCATTAAAAGAGATACTATTTCAGACAGGTGGAATGAACCAAACATATATTTGTTTTCGATAATTCCATGGACGACATATCTCAAAATTTTCCAACTCGATGAGTAAGGTAACAGAATGTCCCATACTAAATATCATTCTAGTTTATGATTGAAATGTTATGAAGTACACGTTGTTAGACCTGAAGTTGACCTCTTAAACAACTTCCGGGAACTATGGAGTTAGTTATCAACAAACTAATAAATTATGATTTGGCTGGGTAAAATAGGCGTCGTATGGACGACTTAGGCAAGAGGTTTATTGAGGCTTTATCGAAAGAGGCAATCAACACGAATGTATATGAAGATATGTAGGGTTGCAACAAATAAAAGGTCATGAGTCATATGTGATTTCAACAAAACAATGAATGCAATATAATCGTGTATAAAGACGCGAGATGGTGTTTATTTACTAACAACAAAGGGAATAACTGTATGAAGACAGTTATAAGTTTACAATGAGAAGTCAAATTAGGCTATTAAGGGAACTATATATATGAAGATATATAGTTATTAAAGGGGATCAAAGTCTGAAGAAACTATCTGTAGGCAGAAACGCGGCCTTTAAATAACAATCATGGTTGTATATTTAATTACAATGGATGACTATGATGCTATTACTATCTATTGATCTATCTATAACTCATCTCACCATTCTTTTCAACACCAATCTCTTTACTATTTCACGCATATGCTTCAGCTCTTTATCTTCAATGGGCTTTGATCCATTATGATTAGAATAATGACTTCGTGTTATCAGCCAAAGCTTGTTCATTTCTTGTTCATCTGCATGGATGACACAGGCTGTATAAGACTTTTCATTAAGATAATAAAGCTATTTTTGTAGCAGGATCATTGATGCAGTAGCTATTAGGCCCTTTTGGGACTTCCATTGACATCGCAACATGCGCTGATATTAATCTTCACACCATCATTATAGGGTCTGATATGGCAGCTAGAAGTGATGTGTATAGGAATAACAATTAAGGCAATATGACTCATATATAATAATACAGATTGGGCATCAATATGAATGTTAGTAGGATGATTAACTTTTGATCATTAACGATCGATGGTTTGGGAGTTCAAGATCATTGCTGCAGCAACTATACACCATGCCAATCAAGTTCTTCTTTAAGTTGTTGGCACGTATATAAATAAAAAAAATAACAGGTGTAAGTTTATAATATCTCTAAATATCCCGTAGTAGTACATACAACAATTATAGGGATATCGAGAGACAATTCTCATATAACAACGTATTTCTTAGAATATTCAAATTACATTAAGTAAACCAGGCAAAAATGAGAAATGTTCAAAGAAATTCAACAGATATTGGAGTAATAATTGAAACATTTATTATCAGCTTTTGCTTTTGACACATGTACTGTTTATCATATAAATGAGATGACACATTAATACCAACTCTTGGATTCCTATATGGTTGTAACAAAGATAATTAATTCATCGATTGATCTATTTAATCTGTTTAAGTTAGCTTTTAGGATTTAAGCATCTGTTTGTCTAGCTTCTAATTCAGGTATAAAAACCTCTCACAAATTAAGAATAAAGAAACTAGTCAAAAATTTATACCTCTTTCTATGAGGTAAAATAAATGCCAAAGCTAAACTAATTTCTGTGCAATTAAGTTCTGGATTTACTCCACTTGAACTTTGTGCAATACCAACTGTTTTTGAAACATACTATAATAAAGTTAAAATGATGCTGCAACATGAGAAGGTGCTTTGTTATAGAGTATAATCAAACTTATGACAAAGTAAAAATCTGTAATTGAAGAATTTCAGAACCTAGAATTTGTGAGTTATTACTTGGTCAATGCTTTTTAATATACAATTGACTCCCTCTAAGTGCATGTTGCTGGGACCAGTACTTTGACCTGCATTTAGAGAGAACTTGCAATTAGAGAAAAATTAAAATTGTTAAAAATTTTATTTATAAAAAATTATAAAATCTTTAAAAATTAATAA